CACAGCCCCATCAACCAACAACACCCTTGATCCCCCCACCACTGCCTCTACTGGCTATAGCGTGACTTCTCCAGTTTCCCTGAAAGAATCCCTAACGCCTTTGGCTCTGATACCATCTTCTCCTCAGGTAGTGTATACCTCACCAGACTTGGCCACAGCCTTTGATCCAGTGGCAACAACAACCCAACAACTTGATATAAACCTTGATTACCAGTGCCTCAGTGCATTGCCCCTTGAATACACCCTTCTACATCAATCATCTCGCCACCTCACAAGCAACCTCCATTGCTTGCGTTGAAGCAACGACACCACAGTCAACACTCCAGGATACACAACTCTCCCACCAACCCACCTACCACCCACCATGACTCCCCCATGTCTACCCCCTACTTCACTCAAAACCCAAGGTCCTCACAGACATTCCCCCACTCCCACACTTCACCCAACCAACCACATCACCATCCTCCGCAGACTACACAACACACCCCCAGATGATCAGCCAACAGCTTCTAGAGCATGCAGCCATCTTGAGGATCACACCTTCCGAATTCACACCCTACCCTATCAGGGAGGATGCCTTTGTTCTCACCCTTGAACAGAGGCACGCCTCTATCCTACAACACCATCAACCATGCTACACCCAACTCCTACAACAACACTCCAACACCAACAGGACCTCCCTCCTGCCCCTGGCACCAGCCCACTTCCAGTGCCCCCTTATCCTCCTTCTATTGACTCAACAACCCCTCGAACAGCCCACAACACTCCAGCAGCCACTGTGCCTCCCTCCTGGGAACCACACACTGCCAGTGTGTCATTTGACCCCATCTTCTGCCTGCTTGTTGGCCTCTATCTAACAATTTTTGTGCATTGGATGGGTTACACCCTGCTCTGGTCCAGCCTGAGGAGTACCACCTCCTACGGGCTCTGCTGGCATCTTGCCTTGCATGCCAAGGCCCTTGCACAGCTTGGGACCTGATCACCCAGACACACTTACTGGCGAGCACTCTTGGTCTGGCAATTAACTGGTCCTCACGGTCCCTATGGTGATAATGGTTTCAATACCGACAAAATCCTGTGTAAGCCCCTGTAACCCAGGTTTTGCGCTGCAGGTTCCCTATCAATGTGCTCACCCCCCTACCCAGGGCATCTGTCTACTTGGTGCTGGCTCCACGTTGGCAGTGGATGAGGTCATGTTGATTGGGCAAATAAGTAGATGACGACTCAGCTAGGTGGGGCTTCCCCACCACTTGCCCGCGTCACAAAAGCCACTCCGTGGCCATAGTTTGTTAAACTAATGAGTATTTTACACCCCGATTTCTCATACCTAAGTGATGAAGATATCTCACTAAATAGTAAAAAAGATTTGTTTGCAACTAATGAAGTCTACGGCAAATTAGATAATTGCCTAGCAACTACTCAACTAGACTCTGACGATCTGTTCAGCATCGTTAACTTCGTCCATGGCCAATCAACTCATCAACGTCGCAAGACAAGAGACCTCGAAACTATCGTCTATGTTAGATTTAACAGACGAGAGAAAGGGAAACAAAAACCCGTTACACTCTGTTGCTTACTGGATACAGGAGCATCCGGAACTTTAATTACTCAAACTCATGCAAAGAGTTTACTCATGAAGAATCATGGGGGCGTCCAAACATTACGGACTGCTTCTATGAAGGAATCGAAACCCCGCACGAAGTGTAAGGGCACACTCGTGATTCCTGAGTTCCACGATAATAGAATTATCGAATGGAATTTGCACGTCACCAAGAACTTGGGGGCGCAAGACATGATCATAGGTCAAGACACTCTCTTCGACCTAAGAATCAAGTTTGATTTCACTACCATGTCATTGGAGTGGAACAGCGTATTTTTCCCTGCGAAAGATGGCGATACCGATAGAAAGGAGAACTTCTCCATTCCCGATCCTGCAGCTGTCAGCGACAATGCAGATAGTCTCAAGAAGATTCTTGATACGACATACGAACAAGCAGACTTAAGGCAGATGTGCCAGAGTCGAAACCAGTTAAATAAGGAAGAGCAAGAACTGCCTCATGCCTTTTCAACCAAGTGCTTCGGCCCAGTCGAGGATACTTTGGGAGAGTTGCGAATGGACGACTACGAAGTAGAACTTCGTCCCGACGCTAAATCCTATTATACTAGGGCTCACCCTACTCCACGGGTCCATACCAACACTCTTAAGAAGGAGGTTGAACGTCTCTGCGAGGCAGGAGTACTCAAGAAGGTGAATCGTTCCGAGTGGGCGGCACCAACTTTTATCATTCCCAAGAAAGAGGGATCTGTACGATTCATCTCTGATTTCCGGGAACCGAACAAAAGGATCAAGCGGAAGCCTTATCCTATCCCAAAAATACAGGACATGCTCTTGAACCTAGATGGATTCAAGTGCGCTACTAGTCTAGACCTGAACACGGGACACTACCACATCGAGCTGTCACCTCACTCGAAGCAACACTGTACCATTGCACTCCCGAGGGGAAAGCACGAGTACCAGAGGTTGCCAATGGGCCTATGTAATAGTCCCGACATCTTCCAAAGGAAGATGAAAACACGCATGCATGACTTAGAAAATGTCCGTGCATATATTGATGATCAACTCATCCTAACTGACGTCGATCTGGCGGATCGCGTTGAATAGTTAGATGACCTTTTCCAAAGACTTCAAGAAGTCGGGGTTAAAATCAACACTACCAAGGCCTTCCTCGAAAGGAAGAACTTGAGTATCTAGACAATTGGACTACTCGAGAAGGAATCCAACCCTTAACTAAAAAGATAATAGATGCGATCCAACTATCGCTCTTCCTACCAACAGGAAGGAACTTCGTGGATTCATTGGACCAATGAACTACCAAGGGCTGCTCCAAGACAGCAGACGGAGTAACCATCGTTCTGAAACAGACGTGGGTTACCCAGTATCCATGACCGGTTGTCATGGACAGAGAACGTGAGTCCCGCGCAGAGGTCGAGAAGACTCTCCGGGATGAACGTGGACTTCGTCGCAAGTTCACGCGCGTCAATCGTGACAAGATTCACCACATCCGTTTCAAAGCAAACCGGAAATACATTAAGGAACGTCGCCAACGACTTATCCAGAAAAACACCGATAAGGAGAACACGACACGTGTCCCTCATCAACACCATTTGTCAACGATACTATGATGATTCATCAGTATCAGAACCGTTAGTACGGTCAGCCAAAGGTCCTTACCACACAGACCGAGTCAATAACAATGGCACTGTACGGCTCCGACATACTACCGCCAGTAGCGGCACAGTCTACCAGACTTGGAACATAAGGTATTTACACCCATACAAGGCCTGATCCCCTTGTAGGATTGCCATCGTGCGACGCACATGTCTACATCCAATCTCCGGAGAGTGCCCCGCACTTTAATTCATATGTTCTCCTTGTCCGACTGATGTCGTGCCTTCCGTGACCCTTGTCAGGGGGCGAATGCAATACACGGCTCTTAGCCTTATTCGCGACTCGATCCTAGATAGGGTTTGAGTTCGACTCATGACTGAGTCTCTCGTGAATAGTCATTGAGACAGGGTTCTCAATGACCGCTCTAGTCATACTAGGTTGATGATGAAACATCGCTCTAGATATTTAGCCAGCGTGGAGTACTTCCACGCTACTAGATAAATGCTAGACGAATCTTCCACGCGTTCCGTTTTTGGATCGTGGAGTGAGTAGGATTGCTACCGCAACCTACTCTATCACACTCTACAGTCTCCCGCGGGAGTTCAGATCTACGATCCTTTGATTGTGGATCTCTCTCGTTGATTAGTTTTCATAGCTTTCTAATCCTCTCATAACTTTCATTCTCTCAAACTCAAAACACTCGAAAGATCTTTACACTAGCTTTTAGCGTAGTGCATCAGTGTCGTCCAAAGCAGGCTGAGCTGCTCCGTTCCAGGCAGCCGCCACGTACGTCGCGTGGAGGAATCGCGTTGACTGCAATCTGGCGCAAGGCATTCCAACGTATTTCACGATGGCCTGCACATCTAGATTCGTAACTGCTCTTGGCAGAGCTAAAAGTCATCTCCTTGAGGAGGTTATGTTTGTCGTCAGGCGTAGCAATGGCGAGCCCGACGAAGACCTTCTCCATACGTCCAGCCCACTTGATGGTTTGACGTGAAGTCTCAGATCCATTGATGATTTGGACCTTGAAGGTGTACTTGGCGCTGTTAGCATCTGCTGGAACAGTGCGAAGTTTGTAGGTGGTAGCGCGAGAATCGTCGATTTCGCATTCATCGTCGAGGTCGATGAGAGGAAGGATTGGTTTGTCACGCAGCTTAGACTCGAAGCTGGTGTACGCGTCTTTGGCAATCTTCATGGTGAGGAATAGGTTGAGGGTAGCTGAAAGCTATTGTGTTTGTTAACAAAATGCACTACGCTAAAAGCTAGTGTAAAGATCTTTCGAGTGTTTTGAGTTTGAGAGAATGAAAGTTATGAGAGGATTAGAAAGCTATGAAAACTAATCAACGAGAGAGATCCACAATCAAAGGATCGTAGATCTGAACTCCCGCTGGAGACTGTAAAGTGTGATAGAGTAGGTTGCGGTAGCAATCCTACTCACTCCACGATCCAAAAACGGAACGCGTGGAAGATTTGTCTAGCATTTATCTAGTAGCGTGGAATCTCTCCACGCCAGCTAAATATCTAGCGCGATGTTTCACCATCGACCTAGTATGACTAGCGGTCGTGAGAACCCTGTCTCAATGACTATTCACGAAAGACTCAGTCATGAGTCGAACTCAAACCCTATCTAGGATCGAGTCGCGAATAAGGCTAAGAGCCGTGTATTGCATTACAGAAACACTCACCGCCATCCCACCAGAGGAAAAGCCCACCTACAACAGCCTCAAAATCATCCCCCAGGAGCTTAATGCTAATGCAATGACAATCCCATCCGGCATTGGAGGAGGGCACTACAGACACCTTGCATTGGTACTCACAACAGCTCAATACAATGCATTGCTCAACACCGAAGCATGGGCCAATCCAGCCCACCCAGGACAGGCACCAGTCCATGGCGCAGCACCAACAGCGGCTCAAATTGCAGAAACTAACAAGCTCTTTGCAGCAAACGAAAAACACTTTTCTCATCTTCAGAGGAACCGAAACAGCGCTCAAGAAGCAGTTGCTGGAAACGGTATCTGACACCTTCACCAAAACACTCAAACACAAGATGTACGGCTATGCACAAGTCACCGCCCGTGAAATCCTCGCTCACTTAGATGCAGCATACGGCACAGTGGACGCCGATGACATCAAGGACAACGAAAAACGCATGAACGCTACCTGGAATCCTTCCCAACCAATCAAAGACCTCTACAATCAAGTCAAGGACGCCCAGAAGTTTGCCGCCGACCATGATGATATCTCCGAAAAAAAAGAGCAGTCAGCGCCATCATCGAGAACTTAACCCAAAGTGGAGTTTTCACTGCTGCCCTCCGCGATTGGAGGAAGACAACCACAGCAGAACAGACCATGGCCAACCTCAAAACGAAATTCATGGCTGCAGACAAGGAAAGACGCCGAATCCTCACTCCGAAGGAAGTCGGATATACGAACAAAGTGACGAACCAAACCACCAAAATGCCAACTGCGACTAAATCAGTGACCGGAAGCAACGGCATCCCCATGTACTATTGTTGGTCTCACGGATTGGGACCAAACAACAACCACACCAGCGGCAACTGCACAAAGCAAGCACCTGGCCATTGCAATGACGCCACAGCTGACAACATGCTCGGCGGATGCTGCATCATTAGACGCAGATTCGCCAACCCATCTTTTTCTCTGGGGTTGGTCTGTCAGAATTTTGCCTCAACACGGCGGCCAGTGGTTGAACATTTTTGCCAGTAGAAATTGTACTGGGTTCTACAGGGTTATTCCCAAATTGAGATTTGCTGGGGAGACACAATCTTGTTGGACGCAGCCTTTGGTTTCAAGGTTGTTCCTGTTGTTGGTAGAGTGTCGAAAGCGGTTTTGTTGAACAGACAAGGACAGAGTGACTATTCTGTTGTAGCATCAGTTGTCTCTTCCATCCCAGAGTCGATTGTGCTTGGCGTCGGCGTTGTCTGCCGTTGACGGCGGCATTAGATCACTGCTGCGGCATTAGATCGCTTCAGCAGCTGCTGTAGTTGATAGCACGGCCGTATCCATCATATCATCACTGCTTTGACTGCGGCTGATAGCAGCAGCTGTGTTGTCTGTTGCTGATCTCTCGTAGCGGCACCAGAGTGCTGTGGCAGGATCGGATCTCCTCGAGGGGAGCGGAATGAAAGCGTTACAGTTCCTCCCACGACTCAGAGTATCCGTGAGTAGATTGAGTCATGTTTTATGAGTCAACACGATGGAACAGAGAACGCTGGCAAGAACTCCGTCGATTCCTTGTTCAGACAGTGCGATGCGCATGTGAGATGCAGTTGTACCCTGTGGTGGAAGCATCTTCGCCGCATAGGGGGCATAGGACATGCTTGAGCTTTGCTGCTTCATCGGCCATCTTGATGAAGGTGTGGCAGTGCGTAACTGCGACTAGTTAATTTGCTAACGTGGGGAAATACTACTTGAATAGAGGGATCTTGTAGAGGTAGCACCACCCAACGAGATCAAATGAATATTCAAGACGAGTGCAACAAGTAAATGCAAAGTTCGCTCTTAGTTTAAATTCATAATCTGTGTTGTGAGCTTTGATTGATGCGATCAGTAAAGCTAGTGTTAGCGTGTTGGATCATACATCGTGGTAGTTGATACGGAAGTCAACGTGGTATCTGCGGGAAACGGTTTGTTGGCAGGATGCTTTACTCCTGTCGAATACTCCAATTTACCGTGTCCTTTGGTTTCGTTGAGAACGTGTTCT